TGGGGGAGACATGGAGAGGGCCAAGGGGAGCAAGCAGGCATGTTAAACAAACTGTGTTGGTGCCCTTTGTAGCAAACCTCTGACTACAACTTGTTATGTCAGCATGCAGCCCCAGATATCAAATAATCCATGCCTGCCTTTTGATTTATTACAGGATAGCTGATCTGCTGTTGCAAAAGATGGAGGACCATTCAAGAAGGCACCACAGCTAGACTTGCTGGAATCTCATGCCATTGTACATTCAGCAGATCTTTCTTCTATTGCCTGTACCAGAAATTTTACAAATGAATGCTCTATTTATTTTCTCACACAGTTGAAATAATTTGCTCAGTCCTGCACAGATTTTTTTTTTAAAGGAATATTATAGTTCTGAGATGTCTAAGATTCTTGGTCGCTATGGGTTATGTGTGTGGAAACTCAATGTAGACTATTTCAGGCATGCCCAACTTCGAACAGGTAGTGATCTATTTTTTCCAGCCAAAAGTGCCGGTGATCTACCACCATGAAAATAAAGTTTCAAATTAGTTTCAAATTAGATTTTAACCCACTAAAGTTGCGTACCACCAAACAATCATAAAAACCCCCCAAACACCTGTCCAGCAAACCAGGAGACCAAGTAGGGCTGGTGATCTACCTCTAACCCCTCCGTGATCTACTGGTAGATTGTGATCTACCTGTTGGACATACCTGGACTATTTCACTGCTACCAAGGACACAGTGGTTTCTAAAACGATCACAATCACACTCAATGTGTGTGCCAAAGGTTTCTTAATACTGCATGTTCTGATATGTATATTCTTTGTCTGGAGTTTGCAACACCAAAGGCTGGCATCTTTTGGAAACTGACACAGCTCAAGAATTTCTCCCATGGCACCTTCTGCAGACCCATTTTAACTCTGTCTTTAGCCGCCGCCACCCACCCCCCCATTTTTGCAAAGAAAATTTGGAAGCAGTCTACATGTCCCCATTAAATGTGCGATAAGCTACTGATGTGTGTACAAGACATACCAAGCACAGGATAATTAGATGAGGTCATCAACTAGGGGTGGAAAGACTTGTGGAATTCCAGTGTTGTTGTTATGCTTATGGGCTGTTTAAGGAATTCACAGGAAAAGATCTGTCCATTAATATTCATTATGATGAAGTAATAATGTACTACATTTTACAATGTAGTTTTCACTTTAAAAAACCTTTCAACAAACTGAATGTTATCTAAATAAAGCAACACTAGATTTTATCGACAGTAAATGCCACCACAAAGGCCTTGCTGGAGAATGTTTAATGAAAATCAGAGCTGGATAGGAGCAACACATCCTGTGACAGAGATATACTAGCACAAACTAACATTTTATCTAATTCAGCCCTCTGTTTCTTACTGGCCATCTGTGATGTAATGTATGAAGCCACTGCCTGTTACAGTGTTGCAACAACAGAGTATTCAGTATGCTGTGACTCAGCTGCTTAAAGGGTTGTTGTTGTTGTTTTAAGTTATATCCCACTCTTTCACAGCTCAGGGTGTCCCAAAACACTACACAATTCACTATCAATACAAGATTAACAATAAGAGTCAAAACCTTCAAAGGTTAAAACAGTCTAGCCCTCATAAAGACCCTCCTCCCTCAAAATATTTCTTCATCAAACATAACTCTTATCTGTCTTCTTAAAGTTACCCATGTCTCACAGTCTTTTCTGAAAGCCAGTATGGTTGAAAGCACTGGCGTTCCATTCCACAACTGTCATGCTATAGCTGAAAATGCCATCTCCTCACTGACCCCCAACTGCACTTTGCAGTGGGAAGGAGCCAACAATAAAAATGACAGGGCTGATCTTAAAGTGCAGACTGGTCTATACCATGAGATGCAGTCCCTCAGGTATGTGGTCCCTCAGCTGTATAAATTTTAAAGGTCATAACCACCTTGAATTGAATCCTAAAGGAAATGAGTAGCGAGCATTCAACGCATTCAAATCAACTCGGGCACCATCAGCAAAAAAAGCCCTGGATAATCTTACATAAGGGTCTAATGTAAGTAATTAAACAACACTGGTAACAGACAGAACCCAGTGGCATGCCACCAAAGTAATTGGTATGCCAAGTAATTGGTTTTGCCTCTTCAGCAGAGACCTTCTGGACCCTGGAACTAACAGAGTTCAGGGCCTTCTGAAAGGTGCAACAGGGTAATTTATTCACTCCATTTGTACCCTGCTTTTCTCCCCAATGGGAGCCCAAAACAGTGTACATAGTTCTGTCTCCACTCTATCCTCACAACAAGCTTGAGAGGTAGGCTGGGAGTGTGTGTCTCGGTCCAAAGCCAGCCAGCAAGCTTCCATGGCAGAGTGGGGATTAAAACCTGGCTCTCCCAGATCCTAGTCTAAAACTCTAACCACCACACTTCACAGGGTCCTCCACCAGAAAGATATTGCATTATCAACAGGGAAGACACCAAAGTGACTGCCCCATCTCCATCTCATAATCAGGCCTGATACTGGAATGAAGTGGGTCAAGAGATTTTATTCAGATATACTGCCACCACTCACTCAAGCACCTTGCCCAGAAACAGGAAACTGGACACTCATGTATAATTGGCTAGATCATTCTTTGATGAGGAAAGACTTTTTCAATAAAGACTGTAGCATTGTCTCCTTCAGAGGTGCTGGATGTCCTCTATGGGATCAGATGGTGCATATTTTATATCTACTTACTTTTGCCATATTTAAGAGATGCCATGTTTTAACAATAACCAGACAGATTCATTATACATTTTGTGAACCAGAGCCCATTTCAGATTGCATACTGGGTATCCTCACTTGGCACATATTATTTCACCATACATCCACTATACCACACCCCATCTTTATATAGTGTTTACTCTATTGCAACACTAGGTTTCGCCCCCAGGTATATCATCCAAAGAGGGTGTGTGTGTGTGGCTCATATATTCACATACAAGGTACAGTTCTGCCCAGCCAAAAAACATTTTTTGGTGTTTAACATTCAGGAAGTTTTACATTCTGGGTTACCTTCATTTCAAATAAATACCGTATGTGTGTGTGTGTGTGTACACACGTATAGAAATGGTGTGCATCAATTATAATAGTAGAAATATAATCCGCCAACTGAAGATATCTTTCCTGCACCTGATGAAGGGGGCTCCCCAAGCATGGCAGCTCCTGTCATAATAAATAAAGTACCCAGGGACCAATGTTCCCTCTAAGCTGTGGAGTCTTGTGAGCAAAAATTCTACTTTGTGAGCTCCTGGCATTAAAGTTGTCAGCGAGCAATTTGGCAACTGCATAAATCAGTTTGCTCTGGAGCCGTTCCCCCCTGAACTAAGACAAAAATGTGTGAGCTGGACGCTAAAAAACTATGAGCTAGCTCACACTAACTCAGCTTAGAGGGAACACTGCCAAGGATTCCTTTTTGGTTTTTCCCAGGTCTTTAAGGCATGCTACTGAAGAGAAGGCTAGGAAATAAACAGGTAAAAAAAGGTAGTTTTGATATTTGCGTAGCAATGGAATCCAGCCAGGTATTCTCCAATCACTATCCACCATTCCTTGACGTAGCTCCCAAATCATCTTTGGAACAGGTCTACAGTATAAAAACGGCGGCTGGGAAACGGAGAACAGAATAATTGGCCATTAAGCAACAGGCACATACATCCTTGTGCTGCAGCTATACAAGAAGCTTGAACAGATGAAGCTGCCTTAGGCAGCGGTCAGACCGTGAGCACATCTAGTTCAGCAGTTACTCCACAGTTCTCCAGGCCTCTCTTGGTACCTACTACCCGAACTTTTTTAGTTGTTGGAGATGCCTAGGATTGAATCTGGCACATTTGGTATGTAAAGCACGTGCTCTACCATGGATTAGTAGGAACTAAGAGCCTTGTTGCTTACTTACGGTAATACCCTAGTTGTGTACCAGGAGCAACACCTAGTGGTAAGACACGTACTGGCAACCTTGGCACTGCAATTTTTGACACTTCAGGGACTAACGAGAGGTACTTCAATCTGCAGATCTACCATGGCTACAACTAGAAGTCCTTTGAAATCAGTGAATCTGATGTACACCTATACATTATAAGACATCATAGAGTACTGTGGTACCTTAAAGACCAATAACTTTTACTCCTGCATAAACTCTCTTAAACCCACTTCTTCAGATGCTTTGAGTGGATACGACAAGACCAGTGTTCCCTCTAAGATGAGTTAGTGTGAGCTAGCTCACAGTTTTTTAGCCTCTAGCTCACATTTTTGTCTTAGCTCAGGAAAGATGGCCCCAGAGCAAACTAATTTATGCAGCAGCCAAATGGCTCTCTCGCAACTTTTAATGCCAACAGCTCACAAAGTAGAATTTTTGCTCACAAGACTCTACAGCTTAGAGGGTACATTGGACAAGACTCCTATCTTGGAACATACCTGTAAACCAACAAATGACAACAGTGTAATCTAGAACTGTATATTCTATACTAAGGGGAAAAGCCAAACTGGAAATGGAAAATGGCGAAGATTGCACAAGGGAGGGAGAAAAATTCCTACAAAACTAAAGCCCCAACTGAGAAGTCAGACAAACCCCATCGTACTTTTTCAGAAATCACTGTAAGAATCGCCCACATTTTCTACATCTATTAAGGTAGAAACTTTAAAAAATATGTGTAAAGGATCTTCTGGATGCCAGATTTTGAAACAGATACCATCCATGCCCAGTAAAACTAGCCTAGGGTCAGTCTTAGAAATCAGACCTAACTTCAGTATATTTGTGCTGAAACCAGGAAGCAAAGTTGATGCAGTCTCTGTAAAATGGCCCCAATACATTCAAAGCTGTGTGTGTGTGGGGGGGGAGATGTTTCCTTGTTCTGCTCTCCTACTCCCCCCTAGAAAAATGTGGCAACATTTCTCACAGCTTATAGCATTTTGTTGACTACATTTAAACACTACAGAAATCAGAGATCTGCAAATATAAAGCTGACTAGCACACGGAGTGTTAAAGAGAAACTGACAAACAGGAGAACAGGTACTTTTATTGCTCACCTTTTATACAATAGCAGACCTTCAGCCATTTTCTTTCACAGCTTGACAATGCTTCTGTACACGCACTCACAAAAAAAACCCCAACAAGGCGCACTGATGTGGTTTTTAGTAAAGAAAAGTGTAACAAACCCAGTTGAAGGCATTTTGTTGTAAAGAAAATGCCAAAATGAAGTCAATCCTGTATTTGCTGACCAGTGGTATTAACTCGTGCATAAAACAAATTTCAGATTGCCATTACTGCTAGCTAAGTTCAAGTAAAAAAATTAGGCTGGTTGGGAGACCAACTGATGAAAGTCAGTTTGAATGATGCTGAAGCATGGGGCTACATATACTATCTGTTCACATCTTAGGTTAGTTGGATATGCATGGTATGGCAGTGGTTGGGGTCTCCGGAGCTGACTATGAGATAGTATTTCTGATCAATGGGAGATAAGGCTACTGAACAAGTCATCGGCAATAGAGCTCATATAATAGACGGGGGCAGGTCTGCTGAAGCAGACTGCAGTTCTGCACAAGTTACAAATGCCTAAGTCCAACTGATTCCAATGGGGCTTATGCACAAGTAACTTACTCACTTATCTACAGCTTTACAATACAGATTTGAAGCAAAAGACATAGAATGAAAAGTAATGTTCAGGATGGCTTGAACAGTGCGAGATTTTAAGAGAGAGAGAGAGAGAGAGCCTGTGTAAAAACAGTTTTCTGGTTTGCACATTACAGGTGTGAACAGACAGATCCTCCTGGTCTCCAGATTGCCTTAAAACAAAAAACATGGTTGTTGCTCTACAGTTCTGAGATTCCTAGAGAGGAAAAGCTGCAGTTAGATTTTAGGCAGCAGCCAACTGTTATGTGAACCTTCACATGCACTCAAAAGCAAAGATCGTTTTCTGAAAGCAGCCTTCCACACAAGATCTGGTACTAATTTGAAAAGAAACTTTGTAACGGACTTCTATTACATGAGCTCTGTCAAGAAGAGGAAGTTTTGTAGCCTCAGCTAGTGAAGTGTCTTCCTTGTCCAAATCCAGATTGATTGTACTGATAACCTCCATGCTGGAAGTGCTGCTCAAACTGCCCCCCTTGATTAAAGTTCTGTGCACCTCGTCCTCCCCAGCCACCTCCTTGCCCACCACGGCCACCCCGACCTCCACGGCCACCTCGCCCTCCTCCGCGGCCTCCACCTCGATCACTTGGGTGCCCATCTTGGTATCTGTTGTCTTGTTGGTAGTTGCTGCCACCACCTTGATATCCACTTCCAGAATATGAAGATTGATATCCACCATAGCCACCTCCTTGGTAACCGCTGCCACCACCGTGATAACCTCCAGTTTGAAAGCCTGCGTCTCTGTAATTGCTCTCTCTATAACTGACATCTTGATAGCCACTTCCTCCACCGTCAGTCCAGCCTCCCTGAGGCTTGCCTCCTCTTCCTCCCCCTCTGCCTCCATGGTCATAACCACCACGTCCTCGGCCTCCTCGTTCGTGACCCCCATGTTCGTGACCTCCACGGCTTCCATAGGATGAGTCATACCCTCCTCGGCTTCCTCTGTCATAGCCTCCTTGGTCATAGCCTCCTCGGCTTCCTCTGTCATGACTCCCTTGTTCATAACCTCCACGGCCACCATATGATGACTCGTAGCTACCTCTTCCACCTCTGCCTCCACCACTTTGCTGCTGGGGACCATCTTGTCTTTTTTGCCATGGTGGCATCTCAGGAGGCGGTGGCTCAATTTCATTGGGTCTCCCACCTCTGTCAGGTACTCGTCCCATTAACACCTGTAAGTAGAAGAAACCAATTTCTGAAACAATAAGCTCAAAAGAGCAGCTGCGTTACTTCATCTGGAAACTGGCACGATTTATAAACACTCTAGGAACACCTTTCGTAGAAATAATAAGAGTGCTATAATGCTGACTAATAAGGGATTCACAGAAGCGCATTGTCAACAGGAGAAGCTTCAGCAGGTCACTCTATAACAGTTTATGCTAAAGTTTAGGTAAGAAGGTGATCAAAATTTGGATCCTTACCCATTACATTTTATTATTAAACTTGCTCTTACATTTCTTCTTTTTTTCAAAAGACCCCCCCCCACACACAAAGGGATTTAAAACAAAAGAAAAACATAGTAATAAGTTATTACATCTAAAATGGAACTTTCCTTCCCACTTCTGAAAAACTTAACCTTGTAGTGGTCAGTATTCATAAATACGGAACAAATAACAAACAGGACTCCTGGTGGCCACAGGGTGGATCCATGGCTGAGATGCAATTTGCAGTAACATCTCTCCAATCCTAAAGGTGTCACCCTGACAATATGTTCCTACAGCTACATGGAGCTATGAAAGTGCAACCACAAGCCAGCCTGCACTGCTACAACTTCTGTCACCTTGCTGCTCTGCATGCAAATTCCAATCCCGCTGTGACAGATTACTAGACTGAATCCAGGCATAGGCTTGTGCCTATATAACAATGGACGATGATGTACCTAACACAGCTGATATTCCTTTCTTAGAGAAAAGCAGTGGCATGTGGCTTGTGGCCCGTCTGCACAACACTGTAGTAATACTGGGTAGCACTAAAACATACCACAATGGTGGCTGTAGTGGAAGAGAAAAGTTGATGTGCCATACTGCGCTAGCATGATGACATAGGGCAGCATAGGCCTGTTGTGCCCAGGAAAGCATGACTGCCATGTGTATGCTGTGTACATGTACGTATTCAAAAGAATGTTATTCCAACACAAGAGGGTCAATGCTTTCTACAGAGTTACTCAATATCCACAGGAACTATTATACACCTTCAAATCCAACAGATACCTTATTAATGGCACAGGCAGTCTTCTCTCTGATAGACCCACTGCTCGTCCTCATAATCTTTGACAGGTCTTGCCGAGCTGCTAGGAGGTGAGCAACCGAAGCAGAACTTTTGGTTGACAAGATGGCACGTCTCGGCTGATAGACTTTAGCCAATTTCTCTGTTTGGCTCTATTGTATAGAAAGAAAGAAAAAAGGAGAAGGCAGTGAGCTGAACCCACACATCTAAGTGTTAATTCCCTAGCATTTTAACAGCAAGACAACCAACAGAAACATTAAAGCCCACTTTACACATAAGTGAAAGTTATCATAATACAAACCCTCAAGAAAGAGAGTATAAAGTGGTCCCAAGCAACAATGTAACTCTTTCAGCCTATGGAAATGAAATCCAGATTTGCAGCCATGTCTCTAACACTATTTTGTGGTTCATCTCTCTGTCCTCCATCCCAAAAGAACGGTCAAAGTCTGGATCTTATTCTGTATTTTCAAATCTTAAACCTAACACCATGTTAGATAACCAGTGTTTCTGCTCCAACGACACTTGCTAAATCCAGTTGCTGCTGTTGCTGTAAACAGCATTTGGAGAGCACCTGAACTGAATGTATGGCTAGATATTATGCAAATGCCATCAACCAAGCAGCCTTTTTAGAAACTTGGAGAATTCAGATATACATATTATTCAACATCGGCTCCGGTCACACGGGCAGGAAACTGCGGGGGGGAAGCGTGGCTGTTTGCCCCGGGGCAAACTAACGCGCGGTTAAGGGATCAGACCTCCCCTGGAGGTTCCGTGGAGGTCCCGTGGAGGTTCCGTGGGAAGGGAGAAGTGCTGATCACAGGACGATCCTGCGCGCAACAAAGAAGCGCGCGGTGCGGCAAACGGATGTTGTTGTTGTTTTTCGTGTACACCAAAAATGCGCATGCTCCATTGGGTGTTTGTGCGCATTTACGGAGACTTGGGGGGAAAAAAAACTTGTTTGCAAGGGGACATGGGCGGGCGCCGGATGCCACCGGAAACGTGATCAGACGCCCGCCCTTCCGGAAACTAGTACCTCCGAGGTACTAGTTTTTTGCAGCGCGGTTTCGGCGGAAAGCTTCCCAGATGTGCCGGTGAGATCATGCCCGGAAACTCCGCCTGACTTCCATCTCTCTTCCGTGTGACCGCAGCCACCATTAGTTTAGAAGCCCAGTTCATAAAGGGAAACAAGCGCCAGCCTGGATATCAAAGCGAACTGGAGCTTAATCTAAACTAGAAGTGTTCAATCAAGTGCTGCACTAAGAAGAGGAAGGTGCAAGGGCAGAGAACGAGCACAGCTGTGTTCACAGAAAAAGCCACAAACCTTGGTTTAACTAATATTTGTCAGACTCCTGAATTCGACTTTACAGTGTTAATTCAGAAAGGAAATCAGATCCAAATACTGTTTCCATAGCACTCAGCGGTTACTGTTTTCTGAAATTAAGGGGAACTACGATTGTAATAGGCAGGGAGACAGTAACATATCTATCTTGCAGAAAGAGCTAAAAAGGAAACTGATCACCCTGGAGAAGTAGATCTGGACAGTCAATTCATCTTTCTTCTCCCTTCTCCTCTAGTTTTGCACACCCTGTCTCTTAATCTAAACTAGAAGTGTTCAACCAAGTGCTGCACTAAGAAGAGGAAGGCACAAGGGCAGAGAATGAGCACAGCTGTGCTCATAGACAAAGCCACAAACCTTGGTTTAACTAATATTTGTCAGACTCCTGAATTCAACTTCACAGTGTTAATTCAGAAAGGAAATCAGCTGTTTTTTCCTTGAGAAGATTTTAACCTCTGATATGGTGAGGAAGTCAATTTTCCACTTGGCAACTTAAATTAGTATAAACTTATTACACAAACAATTTGCCAAAAATCTATGCAGGGATGGGACTAGGCATAGAAAAGACAGCAGAGAGAAGAAACTGCATTATATCAAGTCAGACCATTGATCCATCTAGCCAAGCAGTCTACTCAAAGATCTCAAAAAACTTTCACTGCCCTGCCACTTCAAGCATTTCCTCTAACAACTGAACAGTGGCTCCTGATCCAGAAGTAATGGCAGGTGAGGGTTTTACAGTGAGGAGACCAGAAGCCAGAGTACAGTCAAAAATGGACAGATATAATAAAAGAGGTAAGCTTGATGGCACTGGGATACAGGAACAGCGACTTCTGGTGAAAATTTTAATGTCACTTACTTGCCTTTTACAACTTTAATTTTCCCCTTTTACAACTCTCCTGAAAACAGGGAGAAAGTGCTGTTTCATACATATTTACCTACAGCATCTCTGGTACTCTCGCAGCATGTCAAGCACCAAGGGATGTATGAATTAGCCACACTAAAACTCATCTATTAGAACAACAGGAAAAATACTTAGCTAGAAAATTGTACAACCATGCTACTTAGTTGCAAAGGAATGACTTGACATTTCTCTCCCAGAATTAAAGCAGCATGAAATTCTCATGAACTGCAGTAAAGAGCTGGTCAAATGAGAACTGTGTGTATGCAAGCTAGTCAAATGGAAACAGGTTTCCTCCAGGACAAGTGTAACGTATGTGTCACAAAGCAGCCACAAAAACACTCATAATAGGTTTTTACAAAAAGTTTTTAGTAAGGTCCATTTCAGTTCAAGTTTCTTTCTAAATTGGGGCTTTCCCACACACATTAACTAGAGCTGTTTTTATAGGGACAAATCACATATATGGAAAACAAATTATACCTTTGCTCTGTCTGACCAGCCAAATGACTGGACAGTCACATCCAGACGCTTCACTAACAATTTTCTCCGGACTTCATACTCATTGGCTATGGCTTGATTAATAGCTTCAATTTTTTCCTGAAATGAAAGTATATGAGTTTCATGACCTCTGAAATACTATTTTAAGCACGCTTCTCTAACTTTAACACATCAGAACAACATTGAGTGCTTCGCAACAGATGAAGATCAAAATAAAACTAGTTCTGAAGTTTAACATTCACTTAAAGATACAGCTTCATCACAATGAAGAACAAAACCCCCAAGAGATCTGCTGTGTTCTATCAGATGACACACAGTCCCAACAGCTGAAACAGCAGACAGCACTGTTTGGCAAGCAGTTTTCTTGTAACTGCTGATCTGTTTTCTTGGACCTCTTCCAGATAAATAATAAACATACTAAAAGGGCAATTAAACTTGGGGGTGGCCTTTGCATTGATAAGCTAGAGCACAGTGATATCAAGAAGAATGTAAAGCTGTTGACATAAGGAAACTTGACATAAGTAAAGGACTGACACCCAGAAAAACAAGAGAAGCGTTCCCAATTCCCTTTAGGTTATCACGTAAGCAAGCCTATTAAAGAGAGAAGAAGGGAGAAGAGATTGGATTTATACCCCACCCTTCACTACCCAAAGGTGTCTCAGAGCGGCTTACAAACTCCTCTCCCTTCCCCTCCCCACAACAGACACCCTGTGAGGTAGGCGGGGCTCAGAGAGCTCTTGACAGAAACTGTTCTTTTTCAAGAGCAGCTCTTATCAGAGCTACGGCTTGCCCAAGGCCATCCAGCCAGGTGCAAGTGGAGGAGTGGGGAATCAAACCTGGCTCTCCCAGATTAGAGTCCGTGAACTTAACCACTACACAATGCTAGCAACAGAAACATCGGTTGAAACAAGCCTCTGTGGGTTTCTATCAGAAAGACAGCTTCCCCTTGAAATATGACTGGAAATATAGCAGATGGTAGAAGATCCCCCTCAAAGCATTGGCAGAGACTCTGAACCCTCTGCCTAGCAGGATATCTCTAGGATCTATGGCTTGCATCCCATGGAGGGCTTCTGTTTATAGGAAGGTAGGTGTGTGTGGGAGAGAGAGAGAGAGAGACAGACAGAGAGAGACAGAGAGAGAGAGAGACACAGAGAGACAGAGAGAGAGAGACAGACAGAGAGAGACAGAGAGAGAGAGAGACACAGAGAGACAGAGAGAGAGAGACAGACAGAGAGAGACAGAGAGAGAGAGAGACACAGAGAGACAGAGAGAGAGAGACAGACAGAGAGAGACAGAGAGAGATTCTTCCCAATTCCCCAGTCTTACTGCAGACCTCCATCTCCTCTGAAATACTATTCCGGGGGGGGGGGGGTCCCGAACCCCCAAGAGCAGCCTTTCAAGGGGTGTCAAGGAAGTTGCATTCTGCTGACAGAGACCCTTCTATCAGTGATAGTGTTCAGCAGCTCCAAGCCCATATCTTTGGCATCTAAGACATCCTTTGCACTTACTGATATAAAGAAGCCATGCCTCCAGACAGTGCAGTGTCATGATACTGTGGGGGGAAAGCCCAGTTCCCCTGAATAAATGGATCTCATCAGTCCTCATTCAGTCAATGTCCACAAATTACCAGAAGCATAACTGAATCACATTTACAAAATGCTCTGAAGCTTTGTCATAAGCACAGCATTTCTAACAGCCAAAGAATCCCTTTGTCATCTTCCCTGGCAGTGTCATGATTCCCAACAACTCACAATGGCCACACTACCTTTCATTTAGAGCCCCAAAGATCCAATGTAAATGTGGCTGAATATGGCTTTGCACACAAATCTTTCACTGCTTTGGAAGCAAGATTAACAACATTTCAGAACATTTAAGATTTAAATGTTTCAGAAAATTCCACAAAGATTATGAAGATTATTTTACAATGTAATGAGATTGTTCAGTTATCTTCCTGAGACACAGTATTTGGGCATCAGGCAACTGTAATCAGAGATTGTGTGTTGATCACAGAGAGCCAAGAATGTTTTTTTCCACAAATGCATTTTGCTTTGCATCCACAGTAAAGTGGAATACTTTCAGTACTGACCAGATTCCTCCCTCTTAATCACATTGGCTGGAGAAAGTGAGACTTCTTTTGTTTTCCTGTTTCACGGGCTTTGACTTATTTACTTGAGTTATCCAGATAACTGCACTAAACTACACCTTACAGGTAGGCATACTGATACAGGACACTTTCACCAGCCAGCTGCTCTCTGTCTGTGATATGCTACAATCTGGCTAACACAGATCAATCTTTTAAAGATCTGACATTTACGGAATATGGCCTAGATTAACTTTAAGAGAATTCTTATACCTCTGATACTGCAACTTCCTTCATATTGTTTGTCTTATGCTTTACAAATTATAAGAGTGAATACTTAGATCTTACACTGAAAAGTGATGTCAGAAACTAAAGGTTTAATGACAAATTACTCACCCAATGAACTGGACCCAGTGGTTTCGACAGTAAAGGTTTTCCTACGTGATTTGGTGGAACTTTTGCTAACGTTTCTTTTAACTGTAACAAAATATAGAGTGTTAAAGTACTGTCTTAAGAACTAGGTCACACTCTCCACTCACCCCACTTAAAGCACTCAGGTTTAGAAAGAAAGTGTGACTGTCTACAGGTGTCAAACTCATTTGTTACAAGGGCCGGATCTGACATAAATGTCACTTTGTCGGGCCGGGCCATGTGTGCCATAAAATGTAATGCCAGGTACTAGAGATAGAAACTGTATAAAGGACAGCACCTGGTAAGTTCCATGTTGGTGTGTCCTCACTGCAACGCCCCATGGGCTGGGAGGGGGGGGGTCCAGAGGAAAACCGACAAGAGGCAGACTGGAGAGGCAGCAGTGCAGCACTGGGCAGATGCTCCCACGATCTTTCGCTGCTGCAGATGAGGTGGTTCTGCCATGCTGAAGCCACAATCGGAGTGGCTCTGCCCACTCCCCCCCCCAGCACTTTCTCCCTTGCGTCAGTTGCTCGCAGGCCGCATAAGAGCCCTGGATGGGCTGGATCTGGTCCCCAGGCCTTATGTTTGACACCCCTGGTCTATGCCTAATACACATAAAAAGCTGAGTGGCAGAGCATCTGCTTGGCAAGTAGATGTTTCCAGGTTCAACCCACAGCATCCCCAGTTAAAAGAATCAGGTTGTAGGCGATGTACAAGATCTCTGCCTGAGACCCTGGAGAGCCTCTGCCAACCTGAATAGACAAAACTGACCTAGACAGGCCAATGTTCCGACTCCATTTAAGGCAGCTTCATATATTCTTAAAAAGACTTTCTCAAAAATCCAAATTCAATAAGTGAATCTTCTGACAGCAGCTTATTAAAAGTATTTCTGAAGGCAACAGAGTGCCTTAAGCTATTTTCCTCTCAAAAGGGTGAGCAGATCCCATAACACCTAAAACCATTTCCTTCATGAATGGTCAAATATAAGCATGAAGCCAAGGGCAAATGCTGGATCCCAAGAATCATGTATAGGCACTGTGCATGCACTGGGCCTTTCCTGTTCACATCCCACTGCAGCCCCTCACCCCAAGTCCACTCCTAAAAACTGGGGAGCCCTCTGGAGTGGCAGAGCATGGAGCTCATGGAGGGGTCAAAGTGTAGTTGGCACCAAGGCTCCCTCTAAGCTGTGGAGTCTTTGTGAGCTACTGGCATTAAAATTCTGAGCGAGCAATTTGGCTACTGCATAAATTAGTTTTCTCTGGAGCCATCCTTCCTGAGCTGAGACAAAAATGTGTGAGCCAGAGGCTAAAAAACTGTGAGCTAGCTCACACTAACTCAGCTTAGAGGGAACACTGGCACTCCCCCCACACACACACACTATATGCAAACAGAATTGCATTTGGAATCAAGCCACTGTAATAATATTGAACCTCAGTTCTTACTTTTTTTTCTATTCCACTGAAGAACTGGAACATAGTTATGTTGGCTGGAGGCTTGGACATGCCTAAAGCAATACATATGCCTTTAAGCTCCTGAAAGACTTCACTACCACCACCTTCCTGGGCTTTTTTCGGAGGAGCATTCACACACAGCATTCGAGCAGCTTCTAATTCTGAAATGAGGTACGCTGAAGGAAGGAAAGTTACAGTTCAGCATGATACAATTGTGCTCAATTGGAATATTTACCATAGCTACTTGGCCAAGGAATACACTGGAACAAAAATCTGCATTTTGCAGAAGGGGTGTCGAACTCATTTGTTCTGAGGGCCAGATCGGATATAAATGATACCTTGTTGGGCTGGGCCACGTGTGTCATAAAATGTAATGCCAGGAGATATAAACTTTGTAAAGGACACAAACACAAAGGTTTTTTTTTTACTTAAAATAAAAACATGTTTAAAACATTAGCACTCTTGCAATATTTTGTTTATTTAACAGTGTCTGATAACTGACACCTCTTGCTCTGAATTACTGCATCAAAATGTCTGTGCTGTTGCAATCCTGAGTATGCTGTTCAGATGTGTATCTACAATGACGTAGAAGCAGCAGAACTGAAGAAGCAGAAGACAGCCAGTTCCACTGCGGGCCTGATAGAAGCCCTCTGGGGCCCTGATCCAGCCCCCGGGCTGAATGTTTGACATCCCTGTTCTACAGTATGCTCTTGTTGAAAAAACTGAGCGACAGAACACAGTTAGGATGAGGTACAAAGAGAGGCTTTTGAGGTCAAATGTCAGAAGTCTAAGGACCAGAGAGATGCACTTGACAAGTCACCGAACAGTATTTCTCACAGACATGTAAGGGTATCAAGTGGATATCTGTATGACTAGGAAGAATAGCTTTATTGATACTTCTTCCAACTTACTGCATCATCAACGCATTGATCATTTTTATTGTCAAATGCTAATTCCCAGTTCTATGAAGACCTACACCACCTCCTGGAACTAACACCAAAAGATGTCCTCCTCATCATAGGGGATTGGAATGCTAAAGTAGGAAGTCAAAAGGTAACTGGAATCCCAGACAAGTCTTGCCTTGGAGAACAAAATGAAGCAGGGCAAAGGCTAACAGAATTTTGTCAAGAGAACACGCTGGTTATAGTGAACACACTCTTCCAACAACCTAAGAGGCGACTCTACACATGGACATCCCCAGATGGGCAACACCGAAATCAGATTGATTATATAATTTGCAGTCAAGGATGGAGAAGCTCTATCCAGTCAGTAAAAACAAGACTTAGAGCTGACTGTGGCTCAGATCATGAGCTACTCATTGCAAAATTCAGACTTAAACTGAAGAAAGTTGGGAAAACCACTAGGCCATTCAGATTTGACCTAGATCAGATCCCTGATTAATATACACGGAAATGTCTTCGGACAGCGCTGGCTCTTCGGCTTTGAAACGGAGATGAGCACCGCAACCCTAGAGTCGGATTTGACTGGCTTTTGAGCAAGGGAACCTTTACCTTTACCTAAAGCCTTTGATTGTGTGGATCACAACAAACTATGGCAAGTCCTTAAAGAGATGGGAGTACCAGACCACCTCACATGTCTCTTGAGAAACCTGTATAAGGTTCAAGAAGCGACAGTTAGAACAGGATATGGAACAACTGATTGGTTTAGCACAGGAAAAGGAGTACGACAAGGATGTATATTGTCACCTTGCTTATTTAATTTATATGCGAAATGCCAGCCTGGATGATTCAGAAGCCGGAATTAAGATTGCTGGGAAAAACATCAACAACTTCAGATATGCAGACGATACCATTCTTGAGGCAACGGACACGAAATCAAGCAAACTCCGAAGCACGACGGAAGACAGGAGGGCCTGGCGTGATGTGGTCCATGGGGTCGCAAAGAGTCGGACTCGACTCTGCGACTGAACAACATCAATTCCCTTCACTGAGAAGTAAATGATGGTAATATCATTAGGGAGTTCTGAATCTGGGGCTGTCCTGTTATCGTAGGTCAAGAAACATCAACAGAAGAGCAAAAATGTCTCTATTCTCTCCCACAGCATAAAAACACCCAGAAGGAAGTATTTTACTACCATTATTTCCACTAAATGTTTTCTTCAACTTACTGAGCAGCAGAAGGCAGTTTTTCTGATTGAGAAGGCGCTTTGTAACGTCTCCTGATGTTAGTGTTGTATATGGGCAGTTCATTTCACCAAGCAGTCCACTCATTTCAAGCTGGAACTCATCTGCTTCACTTGGACCTCAAAACACAGATTATTCAAGTTAAGACTCTTCAGTTCTTGCAGGCCTTGATTTCTAACTAAAGGGCAAATCCTACCTAGTGTGAGTGAAGCAATATTTATGGGAGCTAATTTTCCTGCCTCCTCTGTTCCACTGCAATTTGCTGTGCCCTTGAAATCATGTTTTGTGGGCTCAACTGACCCACAGGAAAGGCATGGGGGAGGATGAAGAGAGGGTCTGCAGTGGAAGGGAGAAACAGTGAACCCTACTGTCTCATTCCTCCCCCCCCCCTTTTCCACTTCTTCCCATCAGCAGAAAACATGGTTACGATCAAGTTCAAATGTGAAGTCAGAAGAAACGGCATTCAAACTTCACAGTGGATTTCAAATGTAGCAGAAAATACCCCAGGAAGAGTATACGAAGCAGTTCTGCAGGAATGCAGAAAAAGTATTCAATATAGAATTCTACTTCTTTAGAAACTCAACTTCCATTTTTAAAAACAGCAAGTTTCTGACTTGAAATATGCTTGAAAGTGCATGGGCAGCCTCAGAAAACAGAAGGATGTCTCAATATTACTCAGTTGGTGAGGCTTCAGTGCCCTCTGGTAGTGGGTAGAGATTCAGAACACTGCCTGCTCCCATGACTAACTGATACAATAAAATAAATAAAATTAATTATGCAAATACACATCTTTTTATAATTTAGAGACACTGCTTGGCATGGAATCCAGATGTCCAGATGCAAAACTGATTTTTATACTCCAGAGTACACACAGTCGGAAGTTATCCAAACTTGCTATTGTGCAGTTATTTCTTAACATTATAATAATCTTTAAAAGCTGCAGGAAGATCAAAAGGGCATAACAAGGTATGAACTTTACAAGCCCAAGCCCAATATATCATCAACTAATTACCTACTTGAATAGTTTAACGTGTTAAAAACCATCCATGTTACATCAATGTTGGAAGCACATATACATTTTCAGAGCTGGTGTGAAAGTCACAAAAATGTGTACATTTGATTAGAATAACATCTACTCACTGTTAGTTGCTTGTACATTTTCTTCTAGTTTGCAAAATAATCTTAATTCTGACACTAGCCAAGCACACAGTTTGGTAAATTCAGGGGAACTGGCTCCACCGGAAGCTGCCTGAGTCAGAGCTCCATCTTCTAACAATGGGCCTTTGTAACTGGCAAACCAAAAAAAGAACTCTGTGTTAAATCCTTGTACCTCTAATTGGGAACACAATCTATGTATATACAGTGATAACTCCATGCAAACCTCAACCCAAAACATATTTACTTGGGAGTAAACACCAATTATGTCAAATGAGTTTACTTCCAAGTAAGTTTAGGATCATAGCCATCCTCCATCAAAAACCAAGCAGAGAGGGTAGAATGGAAGAAATCAAGAAAGGACAAACGTGGTTGGTTTTTTTAACCCTTGTTGCTCCCATTCCACCCTCTCGATGACATTTGATTTCCTTGCCTGTCCCACCTTCTATTAGCAAACATCGTCCCAGGACAAAATTCAGATGTTTTTACTTCATTTATACCTCGCATATTTCACCAGTGGAGACCCAAAGCAGCTTACATCATTCTCCTCCCTTTTAACCTTACAACAACCCTATGAGATAGATTGAGCTGAGACAGTGTGACTAGCCCAAGTTCACCCAGAAAGTTTCCACAGCAGAGCAGGGATTGGAACCTAGATCTCCCAAATCCTACTTCTAGGATCTTATGTTGCTCACTCTGTCTGACATTTGTCACTGTTTACAGCATATTACTGACTACTGTTAGATGTAGAAATTACAGAAGTTCTGCAACAATAAAGTTGACTAGCACAAATGCTCAAGTTTTACTAGTTCCACTCACATTTTCAAAACAAATGGTACAGGAATTGCACTGACCTACAAAAGACCTAGAGAAACTGCACCGACCCTTTTGTCCAGCATGCTTCGTGAAAAAATGAAGTATATTTTTGTGCCTTACATATTTCCCCTCAATATCACATTTTTCCAATTATTCAAGCCACAATAAATTGATATCTACAAAACCTCTTTCACTTTAATTTCCATCACAATGGCTGTGAGCACCAGGGCTGCATAAATACCACAATATACTTATAAAACATTGTTTATAACATAGACCCACCAAAAATGTACAACTCCAACGTTTCTATTTTGTGAACACTGTAATATTTTTTAAATGTTTGGGGGACTGTGTGACCCTTGCAATAAGATATCTCTGTGGGAAGGATGACCTTCTCATTCTCCGCACGAACCAGTGAATAACAGCAAAACTCCCTTCTCTCACCCCTGTACCAAGTAATACCTTGCCACTTTCTGAACCATTTCCCAAGTCAGAACTGTTTTTTAAGTTATTCTTTTTAATTGAAGATGTGCATGCCTTGAAGTCTTGGATTGGACATATAACCATTTTAAAGGGGGAAGGCTATATCACAAAATAAAATGATATAATAAAACTAAAGATTAACAAAAAATAAGCTCTGTAATTTTTTTTGTAATGTGTATGTGTGTGTACTTATGCTTTAGTAGATTTATATATATTAGGGTTACCATATTTTGAAAAGCAAAAAAGAGGACATATTTCCCAACTAACTACTTCAAACAAGTGATCACCATGACAAAACTTATTTTAAATACTATTTAAGATGTGATAATTGCTAGTAACTAGGAATACTCCTAACCTTCCAACCCAAAAAGAGGACATTTTCATCAGTTTTTTTAAAAACAGCCCAAAAGAGGATGGGGGGAGGAAGAAGATGACATGTCCTCTAAAAAAGGACATCTGGTAACCCTAATATATATGCATGTGTGTGTATATACACAGAGAGAGAGAGTACTGAACAATAACACTGCCCTTCCAGTGATATGATGGGGGAGGGGAGAGAAGAGAATGAGGATGAGGATGCATTAAAAAATCCAAGTATTACTTCTAGCCCTCTCCTACATGAAACTATCCATAAATCCACTGCTTCACTTCAAGAATGCATTAGGTACTTCCAGAAAATTCATAAACCAAACAAAGTAAGTCTTGGGTTATTTTAAGAAATCTAACTTTCTTTCAAGTTATTCTCTCTAAAGTAAAGAAATAAAATAAAATCCCACCCCAGCTAAAAACAACAGGTTTCAAAAATGTAATCACAATCAAGGGCCTAAGCAAGCTTTCACCACAAGAAACAGAGAAGAGAGGCCCAAACAACAGAGATTTTTAAGAAAGAAAGCTATATATACCATAAACAACAATGCTAACACATGTTTGTTCTGATACACACCCTAGGTCTTCCAGCGACTCGAGGATGTCATTCTCCATGAGCTCAAACTCCATCCTGAGGTTTCAGAGGGAGCATAAAACAAGACCAGGACCTGCAAATAAAAAGCAGATATACTTCACGCAGAGAAAAGGGGCTGCATTATATTCCCAGCAAGGCTTGCTGCTGCCTACTTGCCTCGCTGCGCTGAAAGATGTGTATGAAGAACCAGACTGCCCTCACACAGATCTCTCGTCTTGGCACGACGACCAGAGGCACTGCCCCCCACTGAACTCCCACCACCATCTTCCCTATACTGACCCAGAGTCAAGAAGCCATTTATACGACTCAACGCCCCACACCGCACGGAAGCCACAGTCTCTCTCCTGACGAGGTGAAGCCGCTTATTCCTTCCTTGCCTCCTCCCTCCCCCCACCCCCCCGGCTCTCCCACCACCATCACCTACCTTTTGCGCAGCTGCTACGCCGCCGACTGCTGGGTTGGCATGTCAGAAGGTGGCGGAAGGGGAAAGAGAGAGAGAAAGGCCCCCTTTTCCTGACCTCTCACCCTGTTTGGGGGAGCCACCCATAACTAAGCCTGACTGAATAATCTACTATGGGAATTTTGGATCCGCCCGTTTCGTTGCTCTTTTTAACCGGAATTACTGAACTAAATATATTATTATTTATTATTATTTATTTCCCTTTTTTCCTTAAAGCAAGAAGCAACAACTATATGAAACACAAATATTTTTGCCAGGCATATCGTTAGACAGTCCGCACATGAAGGACCTATTCGCTTTTGGAAAGTCGCATGTCGGTTTCTGTCTCTATGTGGAACCACGTTGAAAAGCACTGGGCCTAAAAGGAGAAAAACAGACAGAGCGGGATAAGGGGCAAACTACCTCAGAAGGCGGTCGTTTCTTTGATGAAACTACATGTTCCAGCATGCCGCTGTTCTGCTCTCTCGCCGGCAAAGCTCCTTATAGCACTGGTTGGTTGAACTTGCGGGAAACGGACTGATAAATTCCAGAATGGTAGTTTCCAGTAACCGAAAGATCAGATTCTTGGGGTTTCTTAAAGACCAACGATTTGTTGCGGTAAAACCGCCCAAAAAGACAAATAAATGGATTCGAGATCAAATCAAGAAAGAAATGTCCGTCGAAGCTAAAATAACCAAACTGAGGCTGTCGTACTCACAGGATTCACAGAGAAAGACAATAATGCCACCAAGGGTTGAAGCCAGGCAGCAGGAAAAGAAGACCCAACATGAGATTGATGGACTCAATCAAGGAAGCTAGTGCCCTCAGTCTGCAAAACCTGAGCAAGGCTGCCAACAGCGGGACATTTTGGAAGTAATTAATTCATAGGTTCGCTACAAGTCAGAAGCGATTTGATGGCACTTAAACACACTGTATCTGACGCAATGTGTTACTCTCTTAAGTTTCCACGACAGAACTTTTCATTTTATCCACATACGGTCAGGCACCCAGTAGTCTGAGGCATGATGCAACTATATTATTTCAGATCAACAGCCTCAGCAGCACTAGAGACAGGCTGTACAACGTGGTATAAAACGGCATAGTATAGTGATTCTCACACTTTTTGAAGTGGGACCCACCCACTTTTCAATCTGTTATTTTAGAATTATCTTTTAAATATATATTTACTATCTAGGGCCCATTTGCAATGGAACTCCATAGTCACTTTCCCCATAAAAAACCAGACTCTTAACACTGAATTGTATTTTTCATGGTTGGATGTGGTGGAAAGTGTCCTCAAGTGAGCTAGTAGGGTTTTCAAGGCAAGAGATCCAAAGGCGGTTTGCCATTGCCTGCCTCTGCATGGCGACCCTGGTATTCCTTGGAGGTCACTCATCCAAATACTAACCAGGGCAGACCCTGCTTAGCTTCCAATATCTGATGAGACTGGACTAGTCTGGCGAATCCAGGTCAGAGCTTTTCATGGTTACCATTTACATATCATTGCAGAGCAATACAGAGCAGTATTTTCTAACTATTTTGAACATTATGCAGAAGGAAACCCAGATTTGGCATTGAGATTCCCAGTGTCTTTCCTCCCATCTCCAGGACTGGTGAGGGCCACCATGGGCCCCCGGACAAAGATTTCATCTGCCCCCCCCCCCATACAACCCTGTTCCAAATCACCATTTGTGGCAGTCATAACTCGTCAGAAAATAAAACTAGGAATCTCAAAATGAGATGACTGTGGGAGTTCCAAGACCAAAAATGGAAGGAATCAGAACATCCTGACCCAGGTTATCTCCAGACCTCCCACCACACACACTATTTGCAATGGAAGCTAAGTTAAATTCTAACTCTTGTTTCTCATGTATTACTACTAAAGCAGATTAAAATTCTGTTTATCATGCATGTAAAAGGGGGGGAGCATCCTTTTACTACTTTGATAGATTATGGGAAATATTATATCCCCTTTCTGTTAGCAAGCTTATACTTATTGCTTAGGGACTTATGCAACTTGACTGAAATTAGCCCTTTCTGGCAACTAACACCTCCCTCCCAATATGTAATGCTTGAGGAAGTCTGTTTTAATGTATCTGAAGAAGTGTGCATCGACACTTCACTTAGTTCTAGTTTATACCTGGAATTACACTTTGTTGGTCTTAAAGGTGCCACTGGACTCATTTAATTCTCACATCAGTTTGTTAATTCTATTTGTATGCTAATTTGCTACTGTTCACAGGTCTTACCAATAGCTTTAATCCAATTTTAGCTATATGACAAGACTGAACATCGACATATTGGGAATCACATTTAATTCTCACATCAGTTTGTTAATTCTATTTGTATGCTAATTTGCTACTGTTCACAGGTCTTACCAATAGCTTTAATCCAATTTTAGCTATATGACAAGACTGAACATCGACATATTGGGAATCAGTTAACTAAGGTGGACGGGAATAGGCGAATTTAACTCAGAAGACCATTATATCTACTACTGTGGTCAAGAATCCTGTAGAAAAAATGGTGTGGCCTTTATAGTCCACAAGAGAGTGAAAAAGGCAGTAATAGGATACAATCTCAAAAACGACAGAATGATCTCAGTCCTAATCCAAGGCAAACCATTCAACATCACAGTAATCCAAGTCTATGCCCCAACCACTGATGCAGAAAAGACTTAAACTGAAGAAAGTTGGGAAAACTAGGCCATTCAGGTTTGACCCAGATCACATCCCTTATGAATATACAGTGGAGGTGAAGAATAGGTTTAAGGGACTAGATCTGATAGACAGAGTGCCTGAAGAACTATGGACGGAGGTTCGTGACATTGTACAGGAGGCAGCAATCACCACCATCCCAAAGAAACAGAAATGCAAGAAAGCAAAGTGGTTGTCTGATGAGGCTTTACAAATAACAGAGGAAAGAAGGAAAATGAAAGGCAAAGGTGAAAAGGAAAGATTTACCCAACTGAATGCAGATTTCCAGAGAACAGCAAGGAGAGATAAGGAGGCTTTCCTGAATGAACAATGCAAAGTAATAGAAGAAAACAATAGAATGGGAAGGACTAGAGATCTCTTCAAGCAAATTGGAGAAATCAAGGGAACGTTCTATGCAAAGCTGGCCATGATAAAGGACAAAAACTGTAGGGACCTAACAGAAGTAGAAGGGATTAGGAAAAGATAGCAAGAATACACAGAAGAACTATAGAAGAAGGACCTCAATGTCCTTGACAACCACAACGGTGTGATCACTGACCTCAAGCCAGACATCCTGTAGTGCAAAGTCAATTGGGCCTTAGAAAGCATTACTAACAACAAAGCTAGTGGAGGTGATAATATCCCAGCTGAGCTATTCAAAGTCTTAAAAGATGATGCTGTTAAAGTTCTTCACTCAATATGCCAGCAAATTTGGAAAACACAACAGTGGCCACAGGATTGGAAAAGGTCAGTTTACATTTCCAGTCTCAAGGAAGGGCAGTGCCAAGGAATGTTCAAGCTATTGCATAATTGCACTCATTTCACACGCTAGCAAGGTCATGCTCAAGATCCTACAAGCTAGACTTCAGCAGTATATGGATAGACAACTGCCAGAAGTACAAGCTGGATTTTGAAGAGGTAGAGGAACTAGAGATCAAATTGCCAACATTTGCTATATTATGGAGAAAGCAAGGGAGTACCAGAAAAACATCTACTTCTGCTTCATTGACTACGCTAAAGCCTTTGATTGTGTGGATCACAACAAACTATGGCAAGTCCTTAAAGATATGGGAGTACCAAACCACCTCACCTGTGTCCTGAGAAACCTATATAAGGGTCAAGAAGCAACAGAACCGGATATGGAACAACTGATTGGTTTAGCATAGGAAAAGTACAACGATGTATATTGTCACCCTGCTTATTTAATTTATATGCAGAGTATATCATGCAAAATGCCGGGGAAAACATCAACAACCTCAGATATGCAGACGATACCACTCTAATGGCAGAAAGTGAAGGGGACCTAAAGAACCTCTTGCTGAGGAGGAAACAGGAGAGTGCAAAAGTTGGCTTGAAACTCAACATCAAAAAAACTTAAGATCATGGCATCCAGCTCCATCACTCCTTGGCAAATAGAAGGGGAAGTCATGGAAGCAGTGACAGACTTCAGGTTCCTGGGATCCCAGATCACGGCAGACGGTCACTGCAGCCATGAAATTAAAAGACGCCTGCTCCTTGGGAGGAAAGTGATGGCGAACCTTGACAGCATAATAAAAAGTAGAGACATCACCCTGCCAACAAAAGTCTGTATGGTCAAAGCAATGGTATTCCCAGTAGTAATGTACGGCTGCGAGAGTTGGACCATAAGGAAGGCCGAGCACCGGAGAACAGAAGCTTTTGAATTATGGTGCTGGAGAAGACTCGTGAGAGCCCCTTGGACTACAGGGAGATCAAATCAGTCAATCCTAAAAGAGATCAACCCTGACTATTCCCTGGAAGGCCAGATACTGAAGCTCGAATACTTTGGCTACCAGAAGAGAAGGGAGCACTCACTGGAGAAGACCCTGATGCTGGGAAAGATTGAAGGTAAAAGAAGAAGGGGACAGCAAAGGATGAGATGGTTAGACAGTGTTATCAATGGAACGAACATGAAATTAAGCAAACTCCGGAGGACAACGGAAGACAGGAGGGCCTGGCATGATGTAGTCCATGGGGTTGCGAAGTCCATGGGGACTCGACTGTGCGAGTGAACAACAACAACAGCAGCAGCTATATTTATCGCTAGTCATTTATACATCTTGACTATAACTGGCACTTCTTGGCATTTAATCCCCCTCACATGTAAGGCTTGAGAAAGTATGTTTTATTGTATCTGAAGAAGTGTACACGCACACAATAGTTTATATCCAGAATTAAACGTTGTTGGTCTTAAAGGTGCCACTAGACTCAAACTTTGTTCCTCAGTCTCCTTATAAGATTTGCAGAAAGGCCAAGTTTTTTTATCTGTGCCCCTAATGGCTGCAGTCGGAACTGCATGAGAAAAAACAAATGCATTGCATGCAGCTGACGGAGACT